ATAAAACAGGGGTGGGCAAACTGCGACCCGGCAACTGATATGCGGCCCTCGAAGGCATTTAATTAATGATAAATAAATTACTTTGTATTTAAGTTATTTTGTTGAATTTTACAGAAATTCATGAATCATTTTATGATTGTTTCGACATTTTTGATCAAATTTCTTTTTAATTTTCTATTTTTAATAACAGTCCTTGACTGTCGTCATGAAATGATAAAATGCGAATTTACCGATTTTAATATAGAAAAATGTTTATCGACATGTAAAATTGGACATACTATACATGCAGTCCCGACTAGATTTACATTTGTCAATGTGCCCTTCGCACAAAAATTTTGCCCACCCCTGTTATAAAATATCAAGTTACCAACACATAAACACAAAATTCACCAGCTATGGTGGGTGTAGAAAACGAGGCATTTAAAAAAAAATAGTTTTCTGCAAGGAATATTCACCAAACAATTGCGATTGTTAAAATGGGTGAAAGAAATCTGTCAAGACGTTTCAAGGGCCACTCCTTGCCAATTAGCGCACAGTAAAGTGACATCTTAGCTGTGGTGCAATCATCAAATGCGTCACTGGAACTCTGAGGCGCTTGGGCGTCATTGACGTCATCAGGCTTTGAAGCCGAAGACGTGGCGGCATCAACCTCGCGATTGAATTTCTCAGTTTTGTCGACGTCATAGCTGGCCGCCATTGCACCGCTGCATTGTGGGTCAGTAATGGTGTCTTCGTTATTTTCATCTTGAATTCTTTTCAGTAGACTCCCCAGATTAATCTTAGCATACGTCATGAGTGTCTGAGGGACTTCGACACTTTCATCTTTTAACCCCAGCACAATGAGTGGCCCAAACTTGCCTCTCTTGCTGCACTCCATCTTCAAAGTGGGTATGAACTCCAGTAAACTCTTGAAAAGGCTGAGTTTAAAAAAAAATTACATTCATTGATTTAAAAAAAATGTAGATGATCTTAATATATTTTGTTATAACGTTTTAAAAATGCCTCGTCATAGATAGTTAAGCCACAACAACCAAATTTACTCAATGTGCGTGAAAATTGCAAATTCAAAATTATTCTACTTAAATTAATCTTTTAGTTATGAGATTATGATTATGATATCAATATAATATAATTGCAAAGGAGCTTAGCAACATTTTACTGTGACAAAGTCTCAACAACCATTTTTTTTTTAAGGAAAAAAAGAAAAAAATTAAAACGATTTCGAACCTGGTCAGGGATTTTCCATCCAGTAGAATGAGAACCGTTCTAGCCCTCTCTATTTCACGCAACTGCTGATTTAGTTTTATTCTGCCTGGAGTGAGTACCTGTAAAAAGATATTCATCAGCGGGAGTTTGAGTCACATCTCAGTAGCCCTTAAAATAATGACATGAACATAAGAAAGTGTGCAAATGCTGGTATGGGTGGATCGAAAAAATCATAGGTCCACAATATGTCCCAGCCAGTACTGTGTACAAGGGCCTATAACAGTGGCTAGCTAATGTATTAAAAAAATTGTCTAAATGGTGCCTTTTAAATAGATCTAGATGTGTAGCGATGGCAATGTAATGTTTGATCCTCATCTATATTTGAAAATGTTTAAGTAAGATGGAAATAAATAAATAAGTCCAAAACAATATTACTAGGCATGAAATGACAATGTACAAGCCTAACCGGACATGCCATATTTGTTGTCTTGAGATTTGATAAGAGGGCAGCAGGTCTAGCTAGAGTTGGGGATTATAAAGTTTTTCCCACTTCCGGAGACACGAATGAATACTGCTTGAGTTGTCTACTGTGCTCTTTTCTTTGTTATATTTTCATTTCTATTGTTGACTGAGGAAGGCTTTATGCCGAAACGTCCTTGTTTTTTGTCCTGTTACCTTATTTCAAGCTTCCACATACCTTGTTTCACTATTTCATTCATTTACATAGCTTGAAAGCAGTCCCTTCATTTATTAGCTAGAGTTGGCAAGGGTTCCGTCGGATATGGATATTCACAAGTCATTTTTGCACTAATGTGTTTTAATATGCGCCGTGTGTTTTGAATGTTAGTTTAGTTAGTGAACGCTTTTCCCGTTTTTTCTTGTCGATGTTTATTTATTGTAAGCTATGAGGTAATGTCTTTTGTCTGTGTTTGGTGTACGTGCATTTTCGAGTGGCAGTTGATAAGATAACCTCTTGAATGAAGGTTGTGACATATATTTCTACTTATAGCGAGCTGTCTGGGTTAAAGTTTACATTACTCTTGGGAAAGTGACTTGTCCTCAGTTCGATGTGATTACGAGACATGAACAAAAATTCGATCCAAGAAACCAATTATACATGAGTCGGCGACAGCTTCCAATTTAATTGACTGGTTGTGTCCAGTTTAATCAATTGGAAAATGTAGTTTGGTAAATGTTCCCCTTAAAAATAGAATATAAAAATTTCATCTCTCAATTTTTAAAAAGCGTCATCTATGACATCAGCATTAAATAACGCTAGGTTACAAGGGCAATGAAATGGCCGCAAACTAGGGGAATCTTCTTGATCGCATCACCGTGTGTTTTGATCAGTACATCTCATCGTTATGGCTATGTTTATGAACGTTTTACAATTCAAAAACTTCATTTAAAACAATAAATTCATTTATAATGGCAAAGTGATATATGATTTTTCGCTCTAAATATTTGAACTGCAAACATTTTAATAGTTAAACGACTTAGTGTGAATTTTTGACATATTCAATGCATTGCCAAAATTATCTGACTTTCTCCCCATCAAATTAATAGAGCCTATTACTTAATAAAAAATAAAATATCATTAAATGGCTTGATGAAAATTTCAATGAGATACTGTCTCTTCATAATAAAAAACACCAGGTTCTAAGATCTCATCAGATGAGCCCCAAGTCAGAGCAGAAGAAAATGCTCCAGCAAAATGAAACGGAAATTGCAAGAAGAAAAATTAAACCTTTAAAAAAGAAAAATTAAAGGTGTGACAAGAATTTCGCTTACTGTCATTCATTTTGCAGTTGTTATTTGTAAGTAATTTCTTAAGGAAAGTTTGTGGGATTACTTTCTCGCTTGATCGCGCTTACACAGAGCAATACGTTTTTGTTGTTGTTGTTTTGTTTAAGAAATGTTCATTAAAGATCCCGTAGATTGCTACGTTTGTATTTCAGTTTTTAAGCTGTAATAGAGAATTTTTTTTGTGACGTGTATGTTTAACAAAAATTGGATTTAAGTAAAAATTGGGCCACGTGACTCCCCAAAGTAATGGTGCGACCTAACCCTATAGCAACTTTAGTTAAAGAAGTGGTTAAGCGATATGTCCTATTTGCTGATGACTGCGCCCTAAGATGTCATCTCAGATCTACTTGATCGTCTTGCTAAAGTCTGCGACAACTACAGCCTCGACATCAATACAATAAGACAGAGATTTCGAACCAAACATGAACGTTAATGAATAATATCAGCTTTAAGAAAATTGGATCTTACTTCATCAATATTGCTGACGTCCAGACCAAAATCTTCAGAGATTATCTCCTGTAACTTGTGCAACATTTCTGAAACATCAACGCTTGAATCTCCATTTTCGTCGTACACGATCAAAACATTTGTGACGTCATCGTCTTGCACATATTCTGTGTTGTCGTTAGCTTGTGACTGGTCAGCCCCGTATAAATATGCGCTGGCCCTCTCAATGCAGGCATCAAATAAGGGTTTTAAGATAAACTTAGCACTGCTATCTAATGCCTGCAGTCTTGAGGCAGCTGTGTACAAATTAACCTTTGATGCAAGCGCCTGTAGCTCATCTTTGCAGTTTTGAGTTATCATGGTAAAAGTGAGGAACGCAAAAGCTGCTTCATATTGCTTTAAAGCCAAATAACTTTCTAATCCTGTTTTGATGACACTCGGGTCTGCTAATTCTTGTACACTCAAATCTCGAAGTCTTTGTATGACTTCGGGAATTTTCTCATATTTACACGCACGTTTCAAGAGCTCGATGTACTTCTTTATGATTTTGGGGGATTTCTCAATTTGTTCATATTTTGTTTCTAGAGTTTTGAACGCATTCAATATCTGCATTTCATAGCCTTTCATTTCAGGATCAAGATTAGATAAGTGGGCAGTCAAACTAATGGCCTGCAACAACTTTTGCTCTGATTTATTGTTTAGTTGACGAATTTCTTGTTTTGTTTTCCCCGGTAAACATGCAAGATCTAAAAGACAGTAAGCACACTGCTCGTATGCGCAAGCAGTCGTGAGTAAATATTGGATTTTTTCTTGAAGCTCTATACGGCTACTTCCGGGATTGCTATTTTTAGAAGTATGTCGAATTAATTTGTTAAATTGCAAAAGAGCTTCGTCAATCTCTCCACATGCTCTTAGTATTAGCCCAAGACTATACCGAGCTGGAATATTATTGCCAAGGGATATTTTTATTGATTTTTGATAACATTCAGTTGCTTTAGCCACCACATTTGAGCTTTTGTTGAGCGGAATTTCTTTTACGGGGCTCCTCATCATCGTTAACGCATGACGGGCTCCAGAACTTTGTTGTTCATGATCGTTTTCCAGATTTTCCGGAATATTGATTGCGGTCTGTGTGATGTTTCCACGTTGATTACATTTTTTTTTTGCTTTTTTTTCTTGCTAGCTTTTTGTGCTTCTTTATTTTTAGCTTTTTGGTGATAGCAGTTTCCTAGATGATGTAGAGTAGTAGAGTGCTCTCTGATACCTTGAGCTTTCTCTAAAAGGCGTGTAGCTTTGCTCAGTTTAAAAAATCGCAAGATTCTACCACATTCTGTAAGTGTCCAGGCGTCGTTTGATCCGTATGTCAAAGCCTCGTCTATAAATTGTTCAAATGTCACGCCACCGAATATGCTATTATCAGCAAGGTAGCATTTACTTTGCCATACCATTACCGCCAGCTGTGCAAATGCTCTACCTTTGAGACAAGTATCTTGAGATTTATAAGCCACATCTTTTAGTAGATCAAAGGCTAACTGGGCCTGATCTGAAATTGACACTTTTGAATTCATGTATATGGTAACATTGACATGTGTAGCACGCCTGAGTAGTAAACCTAGACCAAATTTCCAAACGTATTTTTCTGGTCTTTTCTGAACAACCGTCGAATAAATTTCAAAAGCACGTCTTAGATAATCGCCTCCTCCCAACCTACTTAACGAATACGCCAGTTCAGCTTCGGATGCGATCATCAACTGCTCGCCGTCACAGCTTTTCATTAACTTTTCAGCCTTGTCAACACACTCTTCAGCACGACCCTCATCGCCCTCCCACAAAAACAAGTGTGCTTGGTTTACAAGAGCTGTTATATTATCCCCCCAAGTCATTTTAAGAACCGCCTGGTTATGTTTTTTTGCAGCGTCGTAGTTGCCGAGCTTAAATTCTATCCACGTGCAAAAATTTAGTTTTTCGATCTTTTCTTCTTCTGAGTCAACATCTGTTTCCAACTCATTATCAAGTTTGATTTTAATCGATTTTAATTTATCTCTCGTTCGTGGTGGGTCTGAATTGAAGATGCAATGAAAACTGGACATCCGCTGGTTGAAATCAGTGTCCTCGTCTCCGTCCATTGTCTCTTAGATCATCTAATACAATAAATCTGAGGAGAATACATTGGAAATGTCATTATATATAAATAATATATAAATATATCGTGTATTTATTCCATTGTAACAAAACATAATTTGTTTGTTATGTGGCGAGTGTCTTTGGTGTCTTGGGTCTCTTTGGTGTCGTAGATAATGAATCACTTAAAGAAGCCAATGGGCGATTTTAAAAATGACAGCAACTAAAAAAATTGAAAACACGGAAAACAGTTCGACATCGCTATAAGTGAAAACTGTGGTGTAATAGAAACAAATAAACATATAGGAAATCATGTATCAAATACAAGAACTATCCCCAGTGTTGTAAGATGACACAACAGGGGGCTACGATGAAAATAATATGACCGGACAGTCTTCGGTTTAGAGTAATCAAGATGGAAACTGGGGTACTAGGGCTGTCCCAAATGACTACAGTGGGAAGAGTGAACAATTTAAGGTATTATAATTTAGTATGAGACTGCCAATGAGTATAAATCTGAATACAGGCTGTGTTTTTTTAGCGCTGCTGGGTCAGTGGTGACTTTGCACAAATATGGAAATGTAAAAAATGTTTTTGTAAACACATTTGAGAAGCTGGATTCTCTGTATTGGCCAATACCAAGTCCAAAAAAAGGAACGCTTTGACTGGTCAACGTTTAGAAAATCCAATAAGACAAGGTGCTACATAAAACTTCATCAAATTTAGAAAATTGAAAATACAATTCAAAACAAAATATTTCATTAAAGAAGTGCTACAGTTTTTATTCGGTTGATTTATAGTCTTAATGAGTTGATAATGCAATCGGATATATGTTTTTATGCATAAGTTAAGAAGCATTAGTAATGTGAAGATATTTCTCAAAAGTTAAAAAGCAAAATAAATGTGTGGTTTTTTTTTACTTGTCATGTGCGGCCCTTGGCTTTGTGAAAAGCAAAAAATTAGGCCACGGAGTCAAAAATTATGTACAGCACTGGTTTACGGTAAGACTGCACAAAGATGCAATCAACATCCGAAATAGTGGTCAACCGTGCTGGGAAATGGTTAACTACATACAAATACTACAAAATAAACGTATGTACCACCTGGTAAAATATTTTATTTTGTATTTCACTTCGGGAACACAAACAAACTGGACATTAATGTATGGGGCTCTTTAATTAAATATATTCTAATTCACTTTACTGTCCGAGATAAATTATTATTTTTATTCTGTGTTGTATTTCGTTCTCTGTCACTCGTTTGTGTGTGTGTGTGTGCAGTTGTAAGCGTTGAGCCGAAACGTCCTTTTGTTTTAATGTGTTCTTTTTTCCCTTATTATTTGAGGTATGATTCCCATTGCTTCAACGTGAGTACAGTCCTCACCACATTAGACCTAAATCTCCACACAGCTGGACAAATTTTATGTGAATCGTCAAATTTACCGATTATGAAATCTCCTCAAGTGCCACATTAGAAACTCGATGAAAAGAACCATGTACTGAAAGCGACGACCTGTGACCTGTTACAGTAGAACCTGCTGTGTGTAGACAAATTGCGAATATTCCAAGGGTAAAACAAACTACTCTGATTGACCTAAATTTCAACAGATCTCTTTAAACCTGGATCTATAGGAGAGAAGAATCTTGTCTTATGAAAATTTATCGACTCCAGCTCAAACAGTATCGCGAATTTTTCTCCCCTTTTATATATCTTATTTTGTATCGCGGGATTTTGCGATTTAAATGTATTTTATTATATTTATTATTTTAGTTATTATTTCGGTAATGTAAGCATTTTCTTGCCTGAAGAAATTGAAAACAATAGAAAAATATAAACTATTAATTAAAAGACACTAATATTAAATCAAAATGAAATACATAGCGCACAGCAGATTAGTAGAGTAAGAGTGTAGACATTTTTTAAGATAGGCAGATAGTGTTTAAAAGAGTGTTGGACAGTTTCATAAAGCCTATAAAAAATAGATAAAAAATAAATTAAACACGATGTCAATACTTCACGGACCATTGCCTATCGTGGAGGGTTTTTAAACCTAACAAGGCATCACTGCATCTGTCGTCCGTCCATCACAATGGTGTAGACTTTTCAGGACGATCGCCTCTCTCCACGTACTTGGGCAGGCCAAGGAATATCAGGTGGGAATGATACAGTTTGACACCAGGAGCGTCGCAGGCGTTGCCGGAAGTTTCATTTGACGTGATGTAGACTAGAGACCGACCGAAGTTATCTTTCGGTTTTTTTCGGTTTTGGCCGAAAGTGACGGAGGTTTTTGGTCATCTAAAACTCAGCGAAAGCAATATTTAACAACAAACTAAGCGACATTTAAGATAAAACTAAACGATCTTTAAGAACAAATTAAGCGATTTTTAAGAACAAGCTAAACGATCTTTAAAAACAAATAAAGCAATCTTTAAGAAAAATAAAGCGATCTTTAAGAACAAATTAACCGATCTTTGAGAACAAACCAAACGATATTTAACAACAAACTAAGCGACCTTTAAGAACAAACTAAACGATCTTTAAAACAATCTAAGCGATCTTTAATAACAAACTAAACGATCTTAAAGAACAAACTAAACGATTTTTAAGAACGAACTAAATCAGCGATTCTCACCTATTTGGGGGTCGCACGAATCTTTCACAGGGGTCTCCTAAGACCCTCTAAAAAAAATATGGAAAATGATTTTTTGGTTGGGGGTAGACACAACATGAGGAACTGCATTAAAAGGTCGCGGCCTTAGAAAGGTTGAGAACCACTGAACTAAATGATCTTTAAGAACAAAACAAATGATATTTAATAGTAAACTTTATGATAAAAGAAAAAAACAAAGCGATCTTTAACAGAAAACTAAATGTTCTTTAGAAACAAACAAAGTTCTTTAAGAAAAAAATAATGGATCCTAAAGAAAAATCTATTGATCTTTGAGAACAACTAATTGATCTTAAGGAACAAAAACAATTAATTTTAAGATCAAACTAAGCGATCTTCAACAACAATTTAAGCGATTTTTAAGAACAAACTAAACGATACTTAATAACAAACTAAAAGATCTTTAGTAGAACAAACTAAATGATCTTTAAGAACAACTAAACGATATTTAAGAGCAAAATCAATGATCTTTAAGAACAAAATAAGTGATCTTTATGAACAAACTAAAAGATCTTTTAATAACACAAACTAAGCGATCTTTAAGAAAAAAACTTAGCGATCTTTTTTGAACAAACTAAATTATCTTTAATACCAAACTAAAATGTCTTTAAACAAAAACTAAGCGATCTTTTAGAACAAACTAAAAGATTTTTAACAATGAACAAAGCGATCTTTAAGAACAGACTAACTGTTCTTTAAGAACAAATAAAGCGATCATTAACAAAAAACTGAACAATCTTTCACAACAAACTAAGCGATCTTTAAGAACAAAATAAATGATCTTGAACAACAAATTAAGTGATCTTTAAGAACAAATTAAGCGATCTTTTAGAACAAACTAAGCGATCTTTATGAATAAACTTATTGATCTTTAAGAACAAACTAAACGATAATTAACAAAAAACTAAACGATCTTTAACAACAAACCAGGCGATCTTTATGAACAAACTAACCGATCTTTAAGAGCAAATAAAGCGATCATTAACAAAAAACTTAACGATCTTTAACAACAAACTAAGCGATCTTTAAGAACTAATTAAGCGATCTTTAAGATTATATTAAGCGATCTTTTAGAACAAACCAAGCGATCTTTATGAATAAAGTCATCGATCTTTAAGAACAAACTAACCAATCATTAACACTAAACTAAACGATCTTTAAGAACAAACTCGACGATCTTTAAGAACAAACGGCTCGCGGTCCGCCTGTTTGAGACCCCTAGATTAGATGCTTATTTATTAATATTCACGATTATCTCCTTTTTTTAGGAAAAGAATGTAAATATTTATATTTTCCCCCATCATTTTCGATGCATGCAGAATGTATGCGGGAGTGAATTTCAAAATATCTAAATATTTTATTTTCGGTTTCGGCTTCGGTTTCGGCTTCGGTTTCGGCTTCGGTCTCGGCTTCGGTTTCGGCCGATAGTCATTTTTAACCTTAAGCCTTTTTCGGTTTCGGCCGAAAGTCATTTTTAAACTTTCGGTCTATTTTAGGTTTCAGCCGAAATTCATTTTAAACTTTTGGCCTATTTTCGGCTTCGGCCGAAATCAGAGAATCACTTTCGGTCGGTCTCTAATGTAGACCTTACAGCCTTGTGCTCATCTAACCTTAACGATAGATGTCTACTTGTTTGGAGGTATCGTCTCCTACTTCATCCCACGGGCCAGTGTGAGTGTAACTGATAGCTACTGATTAAAATACACTAACTGGTTTGTTGTACGCTATAAGTTTATCCACCAACAATTCCTTAAACTACTGCTGTTATATAAATTATGAAAAAAATAGTCAAGACGTTCCTGCAAAATACTCAGCAACACACAAGATAAACAGTCACTATTGTACAACAGCCATCAATCCACCTTAGCAACAACAAAATAAAGCGTCATTTCCCCTTACCCAAATACGTCACAAATATATCACACAATTAGATACAGCCACACACATAATCTCTTAACTAGACATAGTTTCCATACCAAACATAACAACAGTGATTCTCATACCCATGACAGCATTGTGACATTCTGATACAAACTACGGGACTGAATTCAGAGTTTTCCTTCTCTTAGACTTATATGAGATATCATCCAAGGTTAACAAATCACATTCGCCCTGGGTGCTGGTGACGTTTTCGTTTGTCTATGCCAACGGTGGCCAAACCGTGGCTCGCGAGCCGCATATGGCTCTTCGGTGTTCACATTACAGCTCACGAACAATTTA